CTGCGGGCCCAGCCTCCGCCGCCTGTCCGTGCTACGGCAGCAGAAGAAAGGCGGGAGGCCCCACAGCGCCCGCTCTGTCGATCAGAGCATCATTTTAGCTGCTCCTGGTACTCACCTTCCTTCCCTGCTCCCCCGGTGGACCCCGAGGGCCCTAGAAAGGAAGACAAAGAAAGTGTCACTTCCGTCACAGCCCTGCCACCCATGCATTTTGGGGTCTGGCCAAGCAGGCAAACACCCAGGCTGGCTGGATCTCAGAGTCCCACAGTGGGAGCAATCCCACAGTCTCTTTGCCGAGTGTGCTGGTCCCAGCCGGCCTTACCTCGTCTCAGGGAACTCACCCGATCCCCCGGGTCCCCTGGGCGGCCGGGTGGCCCTGGGAAACCTTCCTCACTGTCACCCTGAGGACAGAGAAGCCAAGAGCTGTGCTCACAAAGCAGGGATGTGCGGCCCCAACGGAGAGCTGGGCAGGGCCAAACCCAGCACGGGGCACCGATCCCCCTGGGGGACGGGGCTGAGCTGGGCACGGGGCAGGGGGATGAGCCCAGTGCCTGAACCATCCCTATCACCCTCTTACCTTGTCTCCTTTTGGTCCGGGGGGGCCGGCAGGACCCCGGGGCCCAGGGTCCCCAGGCAGACCCTGCAAGAGAGCAGCTTGGTGAGGGACACAGCCCAGCCCCAGGGGACACACATGGTCCTGCTCCCCCTGTCTCCTCCCCACTGCCCCTGGGGCCAGACTCACCGGGGTGCCGGGCTCCCCTTGCGGCGCTGCCCCATTGACCAGTCCAGGGGGGCCCTGTAGAGACAGAGGTCAGCTCCACCACCCTGCCCAGCCCTCCGCGAGGGTGCTGCAAGCTGCCCGCTGGCAGGACAACACCACGACTCAGCCCTTCGCAGCACCCTGGGGGGCTGCAGTGCCCTCGGGCATCCATGGGACATCCGCATCGTAGGGTGCCCCAACAATTCTATTACCCCTGAAGGAGGGCAGAGGAGCCAGGGTGACATGAAGCCACTTACCCTCTCTCCACGGTCACCCTTTTCCCCCTGCAAGAGTGAAAAACCTGGGTAAGGGCTGGTTTGGGCTCTCCCTGTGCCCTTCTATCCCCCACTGTAATGGTGGGGGTCACACAGGACCGAGCCCATTGTCAGTGGCATCAGGGCAGCTCCACACCGCTGCACACTGACTAGTGCTGGGAACAGCTCCACAGATATAGATATAGCTATATATATATGTGTATATATATA